GCATAATTTTGGGTTCACCATTCTTGGAATGCGATTAGGTCACAATAGTCGTATTGTCAAAATTGCAAAATGGTTGGCTACTTTAAAGTTATTATTGATGATATAATGTAATTTTTATATCAAAGTTTTTAATTATTAGGTATGAAAAATATATAGTGGACGAGTACATGCACATTTAACCGTTATTGCTGCCATGCATCGTGAATTGATGCGAGTGTCGCTTAAAGAAAACCTGAAAATTTAAATATAAATCATTTAAATTTTCGGGTTTTCTTTTAGCGACATTCATGTATAAATGAGATGTTCAGTAAGCGCTTTTCTACGTAGGGCAATCACTTATTTACTATAAAATGATTTTTTTTAAAAAAAAAAATTCTAAAGGGGCTATATCCACCCTGTATGACCGGCCACAATCACATTTCAAACAATTGGATTTAGAAGAGATTCATGAGGTTATAAAATAGACATTCTAATTCTATTTATTATTCACGTCTTTTCTGTTACTCTATTCATAGTTTCTTACCAAGTTTAATTTGGAAGAAATCATCTCTAAGCAATCGATTGGTTTGGATATTCTACTATCCTCATCTGCTAATTACTGCATATACTCATATCACTATCACTATTATCGTCATCTTCGACTAATGTTAAATAAACATCATTATCGTCAAAAATTTCAATTTTATAACCTAAATAGTTATAGATAGCTTCATATTTTTGGGTAACCGTTTCGAGAAACTAAAAATAATAATCACGATTAAGACCATTTAACATATTAAATAATTTATATCGACCTTGTCAGTAATAATTAATTTTTTTGTATCATCATTATTCTTCTATCTTGTTCTAATATTTGTTCAACGAGTTGCTTATTCTCTTCTAAATTTCTAAAGCTTTGTGTTGGTATTACATCTATAATAGTACTATTAGTATCACCTATCGTTTGTGTTGTGTGATTGGTTTTTTGTAATTGTTTTAATTTTGCCAAAAGTTGATTATTCTCACTCTTGACGGCAAATATAGTGTCCTTCTCATTTTTAAGTTCATCTATAGCTTTAAAACAATAGAGGAATTAATAAATTATTTTAAGCAATTACCTTAAAAAAAACAAACCACCAAACTTTTTGACAAATTTTCATTTAGTTTGATCAATTCAACGTCTTTGGGATCATAAATATTATCTCGTCGTAACGAAATTGTCTGCTTTAGTAGACTTGCATTTTCATTTTCCAGATTACAAATCACTATAGCAATAAACAGAGTTTATAGTTGGTAGCAATAATTAAAACTTGCTTGACTGAAGTTCTTTAATACGATATAAAATTTTATCTACATGAAGATCTATTTTAGAGCTATAATATTGGTCTTTCAGTCTTTGATTATAATTTGATTGAGCTTGTTCAAGCTCTTTCTTATACTTTATGAGCAAACGTTCAATTACTTGAACACATTCATTATGACCAGTCTTAAGATATTGCTCTTCTTCATATGATTTCTAGTTCAGTAATAAATTTGCTATCGCAATTAATAATATATTTAGATATTTAGTTACTATACAAATCTTTTGATAGTCGCAAACCAGAATTTCGGTAAGTAATTCTATTTCTTCATATAATAAATTTTTCATTCGTTTGGATATTTCAAGTTTGCTCATAAAATTATCCTTCATTAATTTATACTTGCTATTTAACTGCATAATCTAATTTATAAATATTTAATTTATTAGCAAGTTGGATCTTCAAGAATCTTTTCGAATTGGCTAATTTGACAAACAAATTCAAATACCAGTTCATTTTTAAGTGTAAACCATTTATACTTAAACATGAACCGGTATTTGGATTTATTTTTGTCTAAATTAGTCCGATCAACA